TAATAAAACACGTAAAACAAATAAGAAAAAAACAAAACATTCATGAGAATAGTGTTCCAATAATAATAATAATATAACATGACAGACATTAATAATTGGCAAAGTACAATAAATCTAATGTGATTGAACCATATAAAACTAAGATGTAAACTAGAGATGAGCCCAAAATTAAAATGTGTTTTCAGGCAAAAGTCTTTTAAAGATTTTATTTTGAAGTAGTAGGTTTAATCAGATTCTTGTGGATAATTATCCAGAGTTTGTCTCTGGCTTGAGATGGGGGAAGGGGTATTCATGGCATGGGATGAAGCTTGGAACTAAGCATTCCCAGAATGTAAATTAATGCAAAAATTAACAAAACTGGTATTTTATGGCTGGAGTAGAGCAAAGATGACTGGTCAGTGTACTTCCAGTCTCCTCAAAATGTTGATTTTGTTACAAACCATGCTCCTTTGTTGTTTGTGGAAAAGATGGGTTTTTCACAGGAATGTGGTTTGTTGAGTGTCGTAAAACAGAGTCCTGTTGGCAAATATTTTAAAACAAGAATGTTTGTTGGATTGTCATAAATTATTATTGTTATTATTATTATTATTATTATTATTATTATTATTATTATTTTTATTTTTTTATTTTTTTTGTGCAGTGAAGTCAAATTACTGATGACCCTGAAAGTAGCCACAACATCAGCTTCTTCAATTCTCAGGTTTTAAACCTAAAAATTGGATCCCAAATTAAACCTGAATACCAAACTCCCTGGACATTATTGATGTGTTTTTACCATTTATACAAACACTTGGAAAGATTTATGTTTCCCTATAAAATACAGAATGAGTCTTTTTTAACAGTCAGTGTAAGATGGGAAGATTTAAGCCAATTTGAAACTCTGTCCATTATTTGAGATGTTTTGGCAGTTACGTGTTCGGCATCTTTTCCATTTGATTGTATTTTCTGCATACATTAAGATTGTCAACGTCCTCACACACATTTGGAACATCATTTAAGGCATTTTTTACAAAACTGTTTCACAATGASAAGCCCTTCTTTATGCCCCCATTAACTATTCATTATTCAATAATTTGCCATATCCTGGGACAAAGTGAGCTTTTATAAATGAAGCTGGCTTTGTGGAAGTACAGGATGTGTGGAGTATAACTCGCACAGCATTTAATAGAAAATATATCCCATTCTGAATCTTGCAGCTGGCTGGTTTGAATATATCCCTTAGTGGCTCAGAGGCATAACAGYAACAAGTTGACTTTAATCATTTCAGATCTTACATAAATCACACCAAAACAGGATGAAGGCATCTCAGGGTCAACTTGGTCAACTACAACACATCTCTCTGAAACCACACAGTTTGGCTTGTGTAATCCAATTTACCCTGCATTGATGCCTTACAGTAAAAAAAAAAACAAGCTAAAATAAAGGGAAAATTAACAGTTCAGTGTCTGATTTCCTTAAACCATCCATTTTAGGCAGACGTAAGAGGGTGTGTGATGAGCTAGCATGTGACGTAAACTGTAAAATACACTCAAAAAATCCCATTAGGTTTAAAAGCTTTCATTTGTCTTTTGCTATTCTCTCAAATGATCCAAGTGGAAA